TTACCAGTTCACCCTGTTCCTGGAGCACTTGGGACCGGGTGTTCCCTGGCCTCTTGGAGCGCTCGGGGCTATGTTCTGTGGCCCGGGCAGGGGTGCGCCAGCCCACCTGGCGGTGCTGACCGTCGAGCTCTGTCAGGCCGCATGTTATTGTTACTGCCTGGTACCCTTGGCAGTCCATGTCTGCGAGGCATTGGCGGCATCGTGGGGGATGCGTCCAACATTAACGACGTAACTGACGCATGTCCCTATGTGTGAATTGATGGGGACCGTGTGACCAGAGGACTCAGGGCTGTGAGGCTCCCGCCTGGAGGCCTGGCAGTGCTCCACGGCTCTGGTAGGTATGGGTGGACTGGCCTGCACTGCTCGGGGACGAGGTGCAACCCTCCGTGTAGATGCCACGGTGTTCGGCTGCCCAGGTACGCCTGATAGGAAGCCAGGTGGAGTCAGGACCACTCGGGGCTCCTGAGGGAGGGGCGTGGCAGGTGCTCCGAGGGGCAGCAGGGAGGCCGCACCAGGAAGTGCATGTGAGGGAGGAGGCAGCCTGCCCTTCGCCGGCCAGGTTCTCAGAGCCTGACCTTGTTCTGTGCGCCGGCGCGTGTCCTACAGCTTCGCTCGATCCCTTCGTTAGTTCTGGCGGGTTTTGGGTGGGTCTTCGGGGATTTCTGTTGGCAGTGTCACGTCACATGCAGGTAGTGACAGTGTTATGTCTTCCTCTCCAGTTTGGACGCCTGTTCTTTCTTTTTCTCGCCCGATCGCCGCGGCCAGGACTTCCAGGACTGTGTTGAATACAAGCGGCGAGAGCGAGCCTCCCGTTCTTTGTTCCGGGTCTAAGAGGAAGAGTTTCCCTGCTGAGTGTTATGTTAGCGGGGGGTTCTGTGTGGCCTTGATCACGTTGAGGTGTGTTCACTTTATACCCATCTTGTTCAGAGTTTTTTTTAATTACCAGTACGTGTTGAATTTTAACAAATACCTTTGTTGAGGTGACATGATTTCCTCTAGTTAACGTGGTGTCACCACATTGATTTGCGGATGTTCAACCGTCTCTGCGTCCCTGGAATAAGTCCCACTTGATTGTGGTAAAAGGTCCTTTTACGTATTGTTGACTGTGATTTGCTAATACTTGGTTGAGGATTTTTGCATTTTGGTTCATCAGGGATATCGGCCTGTAGTTTTCTTGTGTCCTCGTCCGGATTTGGTAGCAGGGTCCTGCTGGCCTTGTGAAGTGAGTTTGGGGGCATCTCCTCCTCTGATTTTTGTTTTAATTACCAGAAGCTACCAGCAAGCGGCGGCAGGTACATTAGTTGCGTTTGTGATCTTTTGGAGCAGAGTGACGCCTAGCCCCACGCGCTGCCGAAGCCCCTGTTCTGCAGCGACACCTGATGGTTCGAGAACAGTTTTATGGCCTGGCTGGTGGAGGGCCGCGGCGTCTGCGCCCGGGCCAGCCAGCTCCCAGCTCACGCTGAGCGGGGAGAGCCAGATCTTCTGGGCCTCGTGTGCCAGGAGTTTTCCCGCTGTCTCCTTAAGTGGCCTTCCTGTGGGCCGATGCAGATTAACTGGCACAGACGGACGAGCACTGGGCATTTTCTCCTTAGTGCTTGAGCTGAGCGTCCCTTCACCTCACATTACCTCCCCCGTTTTGGGGGATGGGGGGGTCGTAGAGCTGGGAATGTTTTTCTGAACACAGCCACGCTGACCTTGGGGCCCAGTGGTTGAACAGCCCCCGAGCTGCCTCATTCGGCTGAATACGAATGACTGACAGGCCCGAGTGCTGCCTCGTGGGGCTGGAGCAGCGGCGTTGGTTGTCACGATTGTCTGGAAGGACGTAGTTCTCTCGTGTTGAGGCTTTCCACCCATGAACCGGGGCTGCGGCCTAGTGCCTGTTTCAGGAAAGCACCTGAAGCATCTGCTGGACTCTCGGGTCCCACGCCCACTGCTGTGTCCGTGCCAGGCTCTGTAGCCTGATCCCGTCCACCTCTCCGGACTGGCAGCTAGCGGCTGTTTGGAAGCCCTGGGGAGGGTGATGTGAGATGGGGGGGTCTTCTGGGTGAGAAGCCCTGAGGCCTGCTGAGTGCCCTGGGCTGGGATGTCTGGGCTCAGACCCTCCTTCTGCCCACACAGGGTCAGGGTGAGGGCCACGTGGGAACGTGCGGGAAAGTGGGTGAGCCAGCGTCCACTCCTTGTGTGGTGGCTCCGGACCTTAGAACGTGGCTTCCCTCCCGGTGTGGACACCCTGAGCTTCTCTGTGACTCGGAGGGACCCTTTCAGTCTGGGGGACCCTGGCCTCCTTGGGGCTTTCAGGTCACCTCTGTTGGACTCTGTTCTGGTGGCTACACTTGTTTAAGCATATACCGTAGGACACAGACTTTACATTTGCTTTGGGAAATGGCTTGTCCTGCTCAGAGTCAGTGTGTTTGCAGTCGGGCAGAGGGTGGTGGTCTCTTGACCCTCCCTTGGACCATGTTGGGGGCCATCCCAGGCCCAGTGAGCCAGTGCCGTGTCAGCAAGAGCCACGAGGAGAAGTGATTTTTCTCACACGCACAGAGCTTATGAGGGTGCTGCCACTCCAGGTAGACAGCGGGGAGGTGGTGTTTTTATTTCAGAGAGCTGTAGCTTTCGTCTTTTAATTATTTGTTTTTTTTAGAGAGGGAGACAGGGAGGGGGAGGAAGGGGCAGAGGGAGACAGAGAGACTCTCAAGCAAGCCACGTGCTCAGCGCAGAGCCTGATGTAGGGCTCGATCTCATGACACTGATCGTGACCTGAGCTAAAACAAGAATCAGATGCTCGGGGCGCCTGGGGGGCTCAGTCGGTTAAGTGTCTGACTTCGGCTCAGGTCATGATCTCACAGTTCGTGAGTTCAAGCCCCGCGTCGGGCTCTGTGCTGACAGCTCAGAGCCTGGAGCCTGCTTCGGATTCTGTGTCTCCCTCCCTCTCTGACCCTCCCTTGCTCATGCACGCTCTCTCTCTCTCTCTGTCTCTCTGTTTCTCAGATATAAGTAGAACATTAAAAAAAATTAAAAAAAGAATCGGATGCTCAACCGACTGAGCCCTCTGATGCCCCCAGAGCTGTAGCTTTTAAAGCAAAAGAGGGGAGTCTCCTTTCAAAGGTGCTAAGAGTCTTGACGCTTTTTGCGCGGTCCAGGAGCCGTGAGGCCACAGGCTGATTCGGAAAGAACAGACTGTTGCCAGCAGTCAGGTAGGGGAGGGGGATACAAGAGGAGAGGGTCATGCTGAATGGGCCCATTTATTTTATTCTCCTGTATTTGATTACGAAAATTAAGAAATGTACAGAAAGGATCGTAGAGCAAACGGCTGCTTGCCACCACCTGATTCTACAACCGTTTGTGATGCTTTGTTAGCTCACGGCTTCCGTCCACCCATCTCTCCTTCACCCCGGCTGATTGACGCCTTTCCGACTAAGTGGCAGTTGCCGTAACATGTCACCCCTGAGCCCTTGAGTGTGCACGTCGGTCTGCAGCTCATTTGTTTGTGGGTCCTGGTCCTGCTGATTATTGCTTGTGTGTTAAACACAAAACCTGTCCGGTTGTGGCCATAAACAACCAGGCCGACTTCACTGCGCAGCTTGTAAGCCGACCCAGGAGACGGTGCACAGGATGAATGACCGGTGTCCGGGAGACAGGAAAGGCTCATTTAGAAAACCGTGTTAACAGGCTGGGACCTCAGGTAACAGCGGGTAGCTGCCCGCCAGCCGTCTGCTACTTCCAGGGCTGGGACTGCTTCTGGCCTCACCCTCCTCTTCCCCTGGACTCCAGGCGCGGTGGGACCTGACAGCTGCCGGCCCGTCTCCAGGTCCCTTCCCGCAGAGCCGTGTGATCGTGCCGTCCGGCCCCTCCCTGGCGCCCCCTGTGCATCAGCCAGGGCTCTCCAGACAGTCAGTTTCTTCATGTGAAGAGATTCGTTGTGAGGAGTTGGATCCCACAATTACTATAGGTCGAGATCTGCTGTCAGCGAGCTGGAGACCCAGAGGAGCCGAGGGCGTAGCTGAAGTCTGAAATCCGGCAGGCCTGAGACCTTGGGAGAGCCATGTTTCCTTCAAGTCCCAAGTTAGAGAAGATGGATGTCCCAGCTCCGGGGTCAGACAGGTGTCCCTTCTGATGGAAAAGCCTTTTCTTTCTAGGCTGTCCACTGATTGGATGAGGCCCACCCCATTGGGTTTTACTCAGGGCACTGATTTAAATGCTGATCTTAACTGCAAACACCCTCCCTGGTAGACCTGGTGTAAACGTGTTGTCGGGGATCACAGGGGGTACCCGTTGCTCAGCAGAGCGCAGTTTGCTCTGGTGGGAATTTTAGTCTAACTGCTTTATGGACACATCTTGTGTAGAGATGTCAGCGTCTGAGCATTAGAGAAGTCTCGTCCCCTCTGCCTTGTCCCCAGGAGGGCGGTGTCCCAGTCTTGGACTCCCCCACTGATGGGAGACTCACCACTTTACAGGGGTGCTCTCTCTGTCTTTCAAGGCAGCGCTCAGTGTCACTGATCCTTAGAGGCTGGGTTTCAGAATGGTCCAGTTGTCTGTTTTATTAAGGGTATAAAAGACATTTTCATTCTTAGAATTCTTAAGAAACTTTTCCAAATATTTGCATAGGTCCACGTGTGCGCACAGGGCTCCGTTACCAGCCTCACGCGCGTCCCTCTGGGCCACCGTACAGCACGGCCTGGCTGGGCCCGGTGTGAACGCGCTCTCTCTCTCCCCGCAGTGCTCCACCGCTACAGACACATCCTGGGGCTGTGGCAGCCGGACATCGGGCCCTACGGGGGACTGCTGAACGTGGTGGTGAGTCCCAGAGCGCGGCGCGGGGCCTTGGTGCAGGCGCATCCGAGACCCTAGTGGCTTCCCTGCGCGTGGTCCGGCGGTCACAAGGAGCTTTCCTCAGGTGACTTGTGATTTTCTAAGAGACCAAAGACTCTCACTGCGACCTTGGACTTTGTGGTGAGGAGCCCCAGAGCATCTTCCCTCCCTTGTCCTGGTCCCGCCTGCTGGACACCTCGGGCTGTTGTGTTCATGGCAGCAGGACACACTAGTTCTGGGTTGTGCACTCATTTCTCGTCCTAAATCAGGGGCCCTTGGAACCTCAAACAGTCACCTTGTGGCCCCAGGGCCCCCTGGGGTTGTAGCAGATGCCCCGTCCCTTTGCCCTAGGCGTGCCCCTGTGGTGACTCGCCATGCCTGCCTTTTATCGTTCCACTAACGCTTGCGAGTGCCTGTCCCGTGAATAAGACACAGTTCAGTGTAGTGTCCTGGTGAGTCACCCGGCAGGCACCGTGGCCTCGGGACTGGGCTGAGCTGGCAATGACCTGAAGCCTCAGTGAAGTCGGAAAGCGGGGTTCACCCACCGTAGTGATACTGGGGTCAGGCCAGGGTCCGTGGCGGGTGGGCACTTCTGGGGAAACTGTTTCCACAGTGCGCAAGCCTCTCCTCACAGATCCCTCATCACTCGCTGGCGTAGCTTCCGGGGCCCAATTACCAAACTGCCACCATCGTGTTCTGTCATTCCCCCGGAAGCCGATGTCCTCAGTACTGGCCAGGCTGAGACCAAGGTGTTGCGGGGTCACCACTCTCCCTCTGAAGGCTGCGGGGGAGGGTCCTCCCTGCCTCCTCCAGCTCTGGCATCCCTCAGCTGTGCCGCACCCCTGCAGCCTCTGCCCCCGACCGCACGTGGACTCTCCCAACCCGTGGCTCACGGGTGAGAAGAGAACCGTCTCTTCTTAGTTAAGATTCTCAACTTCGCGTCTGTAAAATCCTTGTTTTGCAGCATAAGGTGGTGACGTTCATGGGTTTGGGGACTTCTTTGAGGGCCATTGTTTAGTGGTCATGATTTCAAGGAGGAAGAGGGCCTTTACGGGGGTAGACGTGGCCAACAGCACCCATGGTGGTGCCCCCGTTAGGTAACTGGCAATGGACTCTGACCTCAGGCCCTTCCTGCTTTCACCTGGCGGACACAGCTTCCCTTCAGTGGATCCCTGCCAAAAATACACAACCCAGATGTGATGGTGGGCACCCCTTCACACCGCCCCCCTGGGGGCCAGACCCCTTAACGCCGCCCTCCGCCTGTGGAGTGCCCGGCTCACCACAGGCAGGAGGGGATGATGAGCTGAGACCCATGCACTCGGTAACCATCCGGTGTCGGGGACGAAGGGGACCAGGGCCGGCAGAAGAGGACCAGAGGGGACAGCCTGCCATGTGGGGGCGCGCGCAGGCGCTCGGTTGTGCCAACAGCCTGACCCTGTCCGCTGAGGGCTTCTCCCCACCAGGCTGGTGCTGAGACCACAGTGTTTCTTGTTTCAGCCGCCTCGACTTCCCGATTCTGGCTGTCCGCCCTTGTCCCATCCCCTGCACGCCCACTCTTTCCCTGCGGAGGTGGACTCTGTGGCTAGCAACTTAGGAGCCGGATGACTCTCTTCCCTCAAGTGCGGTCAGGCAGGTCAGGCGGTCGGGGGGTCTCTTAGAGGCGTGCTTTAGCTCTGTGTCTAAGTCCCGGTGCTGGGGCTCCTGCCTCTGGTCCGGGGAGTTCCCGAGGCCCCCAGCTCTGCCGCTCGCGGCTACAATGTCTGGAGGCCTGTCCGACCCTGGGGGGTTGTCCATCTCGTGCCCATCCTGTCCTGGGTTCCGTGTTCAGCGGAACGCGGGCCCCTCGGCAGATCCCGGGGGCTCTTTCTCCACACAGCTCCCTCCTGTCTGGGACTGTGACCCCTGTGCTCCAGCCATGCTGGCCGCCTCGAGGTCCTGTCTGTTTTCTCCATTTGCCTGGGCCCCCTGAGCCCCGAGGTCTGGAAGGTGCCTCCGGCAGGAATCCAGGGCCTGGTAGGGGTCACAGCCCCGTGCTGCGTGTTGGCCACGGTCGGGTTTGTGTTCACACAGCCCCTGTTACTCGACCGTGGCCCGGATGCAAGTCTGGCTTCATTTCTTGTGTTTCTGGGGAGGTTTTCCCTCTTCCTGTGTCTTCTAGAATACACGAGGCAAGTTAAAGTCTGTGACCTCCGCTTCGCTTTACAGACATTTCCTCTCGATTTTCAGGCAGGGCTGCTGGTGTGCTGGTGTGCACACACCCGTGGCCATGGCCGCTGCTCCCCCCATGCTGCTATTCTGGGGTCACGGCCAGCAGAGTGCCTTGCCCTGACCAGGGCGGGCACCACCTGCTCTCCAGGCCTGTGCTCCGTAGCGGGGAGCAGGTACTGCTGAAGCCTTTCCTGGCTGGTTGGCCTCTTGGCGGCCGCTTTCTGCTTGGCTTCTCCAACTCCTGGCCTTGCGGGTTAGTTAGGATCCAGCAGGTGCCTCGGCGGCAGAGCTGTGCACAGGGTTGGGATCCTGCCCTGGAGCCTTGGGGGCTCCATCGCCCCATCACCCCTTTGCCAGGAGTAATCAGGGGCCTGGGGCACAGGGGTGGGAGGCCGTGTCCCCTTCGGTTCACCCGTCCCTTCTTTTCAGGCTGTCGGTCCTGGTCTTGGGGCCCCTGGTGTCTTCAGGCAGCATTCGAACTGCTGTGTGTGCAGACTTCCCAGCTGGTGTCCGCAGGAGGGGCTGTTTGGTGTAAGCCCCCGTGTCCTAGGCAGGAGGAAAGTCTTGTACCTTCACTTTTATGTGCTGCTTTGACAGGTAGCCGCTCTGTTGTGGTGCTTCGCAGGCAGCTGTGCTGTAGGATGCGGCGCTTTGCTGGGTGTCCGGTGCGGCTCTCCTCCCTCCTCGGGCTCGCCGTGCGCTCTCGGCAGAAGCCCTGGGGCTGGGGGTGTGCAGGTGCCTGGCCCCCGTGTCGCTGCCGCTGGTGCTCCAGTGTGCGTGGAGCTGGTGCCCTCTGTTCTGGGGAGCGTCCCTGTCCTGACCTTGCTTCCCCTCTGCTTGCACACATCCTCGGTGATCCACGGCCCGGCCACGAGCACACGTTAGTAACAGACGGCACGTTGGGGCCCTGGGTAGCTCTGGTGTGGGCTCTTCCAAGCCTGGCTCAGCGGGGCCTCTGGGGGCTCCGTCACTCTGTAGTTTGCTCACTAGGTGGGAGTTGGACAGGGATAAATAACTGCTTCAGATTCTGTGATTCAGGGGAAACATCCATTAAGAAACATGCTTTGTATTTATGTTTTCCACCGCTGGGGAAAGCCTTGCATAGAGCATCCCTACAGGACAAGCCAGTCTGCTCCCAGCGTGGGCGACTGCTTTCCTTTCTGGAGGCGGTGAGGGTGATACTATTCTTCTTCCCGGCAGCGAGTGAGAGAGTAGAGGAGAAATGGCAGCTTCTGAAAAGAGGGGATAGCTCGCCCTCGTCAGCGCGGTTTGGTTCACCACAGTAGTGTTCGTGCCCTCCTCCCTCCTCTCGGTCGCACCCAGTCTCCCTGCCTGTGGCCACCCCCCGGTCCTGTCTGTCTGCCACCATATCGCACACACTGGAAGAGCGGACAGCAGTGTGCACACCCACAGTTGTCAAGTGTGCTGCACGTCCGCGGCATCTGTCTTCTCACTTTGCTTCTCATTTTCAGGCATTTTATTTTTTTAATTTAGCTTTTTAAAGTTTATTTGAAGAGAGAGTGGGTGTGCATGAGCGAGGGAGGGGCAAAGAGAGGGAGAGAGAGAATCCCAAGCAGGTTCTGTGCTGGCAGCGCAGAGCCTGACGGGCGGCTCGAACCCGTGAACTGTGAGATCATGACGTGAGCTGAAACCAAGAGTCAGACGCTTAACCGGCTGAGTCCCCCAGGCGCCCCAAGACTCCATTCTTTTAACAGCTCGGTAATATTCCAGTGTGTGCCCGCTGTATCTTTATCCCTTCATCTGTTGATGGACACTTGGGCTGCTTCCAAATCTTGGCTGTCATAGATAATGCTGCAGGTGCGTATTTGTTTTCGGCCCTACTGAGGTGTAACTGACTAGTAAAGCTGTGAGCTACGGAAGAATACATCTTGGTGATACTCGTATTCTTTGTGCGAGGATTCCTGACATCTGGTGAAGACCGCATCCACCACCTCACAGTTCTGTCCATTCTTTCTTGGTGAGGAGACTTAAGTTCTACTCTTTTAGAAGATTGCAGTGATATAGTACAGCACTGTCTGCTACAGTCATCGTATTTATGAAAGATAACTATTTTTTAAGCACTTGGTAGGCGCGCCATGCTCATTGCTACGCACTAGACCCGAGACTCTGGGAGGGGCGGCAGTGTGGAGACGAGTGTGGTCCTCATGGGCAGTGTGGGGTAGGGACCTTCTGCCTCAGGCCCTCATCCTAAACCTAGCATGGACTCGTGCCCTTCCCCCTCACCACAGGTGGACGGCTTGTTCATCATTGGCTGGATGTACCTGCCTCCCCATGACCCTCATGTGGACGACCCAATGCGATTCAAGCCCTTGTTCAGGGTCCACCTGATGGAGAGGAAGTCTGCCACGGTGGAGTGCATGTATGGCCACAGAGGGCCCCACAATGGCCACATCCAGGTGAGCACCCGGGGCTCCCTTATGCACGGCGGCTGAGTGCAGGCAAGGGACTGGGGGTCCTCTGGTTGCCGTGGCAGCTGGGGTGCAGCGCTGGCCGAGCCGGCCGCGGGGCTTCCGGCTGCAGACCTGTGTGTGCACAGAGGAGCGGACGGTGGGGTGTGTTCCTGACATGGTGGTGCTGGGATGTGGCCCCTCAGGGACTCGCTTGCTGGGACCCCCGGGCGTTCTGCGTTCAGTGGGGACTGTGTGTTCTCTCTGCCGTGATTGCTCAGTGCTCCCAGGGCTCCTCTTTGCACGAGCATCACCTCCAAAGGTGGTTTGCAGAGGGCCTTGCCAGTGAACGCGTGTGTTACCTAACACACTACGGAAGCACCAGCCCCTTAGATGTGCTGTGAGGTGTCCCCCTGGGAAAGCCTCCCGGGTGCACTGTCCTCTGAGGAGGAGGCGCGTGCCCAGGGCGGCTCTGAGCTCCCCTCTCTGGCCTGGCCACGACTCAGCGGCCCCTTGGGCTTCTGGGCATGTGCGGGGTGTGTCCATGCGGAGAGGTCGATTGCGATGCCGGGGGTGTCGTGACTGACCCGTTCCCCTCTCCTTTGTCATGAATGCTCAAGATCGTGAAGAAGGACGAGTTCTCCACCAAGTGCAACCAGACGGATCACCACAGGATGTCTGGCGGGAGGCAGGAGGTGAGCCCGCACGCCCCCGTTCAGGGTGACATCGCCAGAGTGCCCCCCAGTGAGAGGGCCGTCCCCCTGCCCGGCCCTTGGAAAGGGCGCCATGTGTGCCTTTGCGCGCATGGGCTTTCGTTACCGCCAGCCCTCAGAGCGGACGCACGGAAGAGACGTAGTCTTCTCTGATCAGCTCCCCTTCACCCCTTTGGCAAGAGTCCATGTGCTGCCAGAGCTTCCTCTCGAATGTGAGTGTGCGGAGGGACCAGACGGCTTTTCTGGAGCCTCTGTGTCCTCCCCGCGGACGCGCCTCATGGGTGAAATTCCCACGTCACGGCCACATAGGTGGAGGCCTTTCTCCGAGCTTCACTCGTGAGTTTCTTTGGACTTCCTTTTGTTGACATGAGTAATTTCATGTTGCCTTTGAGTATCTGTTTTTGGAGGACCTAAGTCACAGAAGACAATGAGTTTTTAAAACGTAGGATGCTCACTGACTATTAGGGGTGAAGATTTCTCAGCCAGGGTCCGAGTCCAGTCGTGTCCCCGTTGGCCAGAGAAGTGCAGGGAGATTTAACACATGCACACACATATGCGTGTCTCCCCGGAGAGCGTGCACGCATGTGCTCGCCAGAACCCTCTGAAGGTAGATGAGGTCCCTGCTTCCTCACACAGTGTGGCCCGTGATGGAAATGCTCTGTTTCTTTACAACTGACAATTGCACGTGCATCGCACACACAACGTGCAGGTGTTGCAGTCGTTCATGGTTCAGCAGAAAACGTCAGCGTGTTTCCCAACAGTAGACAGTCCTCAGTTGTCGAGACCGTAAAGGGAGCGTGTGCTGTGCTTCTGGAAAGACGTGCTGGGGTTGGGGAAAGTCCTTGACCGCCACCTCCTGGGTGTGGGCTCGCTGACTGGGAAGTGGAATGGTATCGTTTCTAAGAGTAGGGACACCGGTCCTCTGTGGAAACTAAGCCAGTGTGTGTGACGTGTGAGGTGGCAACAGAGCTTTGCTGGTCTCCTGGCTGTGGGTCTGTTTGCTCTTCCCTTACCGTGACATTGACCGAGGCTGAGGTGAGGGGCGTGTTCCAGGGCTCCCCGTGGCTCCTTCTCTGAAATGTTAGGAAACATCCTTGCTGCTTTTTCTGCTTCGTGCTTCTGACTTGTGGGAGCTTTCCTTTTCGTCCTGGGAGATGAATCTTTCAAGGTGTGAGCTGCAAGTCATTTCTTCTCATTCGTCATTCTGGCTTTTGGTTTGATTTATGATGTGTTTTTATACAGGAGTTTTTTGAGGCTTGTGTGTTTTTAACTTTTGTGTGCTGAGAGGCATCTGTCTTTCCCTGGCCTGGCCCATCTGAGAGGACGGCAGACCATTCCCGGGCAGAGCAGAGGGACGTCAGGGTTCCCAGGAAGCCAGCCTGGAGTGGCTGTGGTGGGAGAGCTTGCTGTCTGGCCCTGCGGTCACGTTGTCCATCTCAGCTGCTCTCCTGTCTCCTGCGTCTGTCTCCCCTCAGCCGTGCGGGGACGGGGTTCTCCCATGGATTCGTGTGTCATCCAGTGATGTCTTCACTTTCTCACTCAGTCTGCTGGGTCCAGGGGATGGTTCCAGGCTCCAGGGCGAGAGGACAGGCCACGGGGGGGGGACGTCGCCCTGTGTCCTGATAGCTCTCAGCACTGAGGTGAAGGGCTGAGCCCTGGACTCTGGCTGACGGTCATTTAAAAATCCGGGCCCTGGGGCGCCTGGGTGGTTCAGTCATTTGAGTGTCCGACTTCGGCTCAAGACATGATCTCACAGATCGTGGGTTCGAGCCCTGCATCGGGCTCTTTGCTGACAGCTCAGAGCCTGGAGCCTGTTTCAGATTCTGTGTCTCCCTCCCTCTCTGCCCCACATGTGCTCTGTCTCTCTCCCTCTCTCTTTCTCTCTCAAAAATAATGAAAACATTTAAAAAGTAAAATAAAATTCTGAGCCCAGAGGGCACTTCCCAGGGGCTGGAGGGCTCCTGGCGGCCAGGAGGGCAGCAGGGGACCAGGGCGGCAAGTGCGGTCTCTCTGGGGCCGGGGGGAGCCCTCTCCCTCCGCAGGGGCTGGCCTGGCGCCCTGCCCTTCTCCATCCTCTGTGGCACCACCAGAGCTTGGGAGGGAGGCCGCGGCGGCCAGGCTCTCTGAGAAGCTGGCCCCAGCTGCCCCCGGGTCCCTGGATAATTCTCCGCGTCTCGCTCTCCAGCCTCCCGCTTCTCCCACCCAGCTCCAGCCGGGGCTTCTGCCCACCGTGCGCACCTCTGAACTCCGAGTCCGGATGCAAGTCAGGCTGCAGTGCCCTCCGCCTGCCCCTCACGGCACATCCCGGGGTCCTACGTGCGTGTGCTCCACAGACCGCAGCCCTCTCCGGGGTTTTGTGGGGGGGGCAGCCCTGGGCCCACGCAGACTTGCCTCCCCTGGCCAGGCCCGGCCGCCCTCTTCCCTGTGCCCGTCCAGCCTCCCAGCCTGAGGCTCCTGGAAATCGGGGCTGCAAGGAGGAGCACAGATGGGAAGAGAGGAGGGAGGCGGGATGATGGGTGGGCCCCACCCCCGCCGTGCTGCAGGTGTCCCGCGTCCCTCCCGACCAGGCCATGGGCTGCGGGCTCCTGCTGGCCCCCCTCTGTTGTGCACAGAGGCTCTGGCATTAGACTCCTGAGCTGGACACAAGTTGCTTTTGTTTTTTGTATTTTTTTTTTTTGTCTTCTGTGCTTTTTTACCTGAGTACTGAAGTGTCACCTTGTTGTAATCAAACACGAAGTCATGGAGCCCCACGGAGGGGCAGTCCCCGTATGCATCCTCTCATCCCTTCATGTTCTCCAAATTATTTTTTATGTAATTACAATCTAATTCTATCTAATTTGAGTCTTTTTTTTTTTTAACCCGTTTAGCTGTTCCAGAAACACTTTCCAGTCTGTCTCGTTAGAACTGTTTACAATCTCTAGTTCGAACGCGGCATCCCTTCCATCACGTGTGACGCTGTGACGTCATCGACTGTAGAAGTGTGATCCTCTCTCGCAGGCGGGCATGGGGTCTGTGCTCAGGTGTTTGTTTTTCCCCCACGGCCCCTGACCGCGTGCGTGCTCTGTGAGAGCCTCAGTCCTTCCCTGTGAAGTGGGGCTGTGCAGTTACCCACAGAACCCCTGTGAGCTGGAGGGCGGAGTAGGGCACAGCACGTGAAAGTCTTAGCACCAGGCCCGGCTGCGGCCGCCTGGGAGAGACACCAGGAGTCCTTCCTGGAACCGTCTGAACTCTGTGCAGAAACCTTACCTGGTTTTTGGACCGTACAGATGAAGGATCGCTGGTAAAAGGCCCTGACCATGTTCCAAACCCTTGTTATGTCTTGTCAGTTCGCTGGTCTGTGCTCATAGCCCACCAGGGTGGGTCCGCCCCCTGCCTCCTGTGCTCCTCCCGGCCTTGACCCCGGCCCCGGGGGAAACAAGGCCAGGGAGCACGTGGACTTGGATTAGTCTGACTCTGCTGCTTACTAGCTGGGTGACGTAGGCCCACGCCTCTGCACAACAGGGGAGAGGTTAGCACCTGTGTTCCCTGGGCTGTTGTGAAGATGGAGATGATGATTATGGAGCACCAGCACGTGGTGAGCGAGCTCTGGGTAGATACTGTTCTGGGCTCCTGTGTTCTGGTCTTCTGTGTTTTTCCTTGTACGTGCTCATCTCATGAGATAATTTCATCATAAACATGTTTCAAAGGCCTTTGTTCTGAGTAATTGGGCCTGGCTGCTATTTCTAATGACTTTGGCCTCTTCATGCAAAGTAAATAAGATTATGACTCCTCACAAGCCATCTTCGTGGTATTTAGCTCAAGTCTGATTATTCACCATGGTAACATCCAAGTCCTTGCTCATTACACTTCATTTCCATTTTTATCTGCTACTTATCTGATTGATTTTTTGATGGCCTTTCCTCCATGAGTTCACCCATTGGAGTGGAAGGTTTTGTCTTTGGTAAAGTATAATTTGTCAAGGTTTTTTTTTTTCATGTTTCTTTATATTTGAGGTTGCAGGGGGAGGGTCAGAGAGAGGGGGAGACACAGAATCCAAAGCAGGCTCTAGGCTCTGAGCTGTCAGCTCAGAGCCCGACACAGGGCTCAAACCTACCAGTTGTGACATCATGACCTGAGCCAACGTTGGATGCCTAACTCACTGAGCCACCCAGTCACCCCAGTTTTTTTTTTTTAATGTTTATCTATTTTGAGAGAAGACCGAATGAGTGGGGAAGGGGCAGAAAGAGATGGGGACAGAAGATTCGAAGCAGGCTTGGCGCTGACAGCAGTGAGCCTAGTGTTGGGTTCGAACTCACAAACTGTGAGATCATGACCCGAGTGAAAGTTGGACACTTAACTGACTGAGCCGCCCATGCGCCCTGGGACAGGCAATGTTTTTTAAGATACAGAAAAATAACCATAAAAGAAAAAACTTCACAAATGAGGGGGCATCTGTGTGGCTTAGTCGGTTAAGTGTCCCAACTTCAGCTCAGGTAATGATCTTGAGGTTCGTGAGTTAAAGCCCTGCATCGGACTCTGCATGAAGGCTCAGGGCCTGGAGCCTGCTTTAGATTCTGTCTCCTCCTCTCTCTAGGGCCCTCCCCCGCTTGTGCACATGCGTGCATGCTCTCTCTTGCTCTCAAAAATAAATAAGCAAACTTTAAACAAAAAAAATTTTGCCTATCCCTAAGTCGCAAAGAATCTCCTCAGAGGTGTGGTAGCTTCAGGCTATGTTTGGGCCTGTCGCCCATCCAGAATCATTTCTTGTGTGTGGTGTGAGGCCAGGATTGTGGTTCGTTTTCTCCACATGGATGTCCAGTTGTTCGAGCATCATTTGTGAAAGAGACTTTTGTTTTCCCATTGGGTGGCTTGGACGTGTTTGTTGTAAATCAGCTGACCACTAAATGGGTCCGTTTCTGGGCTCTCCGTGTCGTTTCATCCACGTTCTGTCCATCCGATGATCCAGCCACCATCTGGATCACCGGGGCTTTCTATTATGTCGCAACACGAGCATGTGTGGGTCCTCTGACTTTGATCTTTTGAAAGATTGCTTTGGGTGTTGCAGGTTCTTTTCATTTCCACGTGACTTTCTGAATCGGCTTGTCAGTTTGCACAGAAATCGTGGTGGGACTGTAACTGTCGTGGCGCTGGGCCTGCAGATTGGTTCGGAGAGAATTGCTGGCCCGGCCCGAGTCCTCCTGTCCCGGAGGTGTGTTCATGCCCTCTCAGCGCTGTGGTTCTTGGAGAAGGGGCCACGCACGTGTTTCCTACTGTGTGGTGCCCGGTCTTGTGTTGTTTGAGGCTGCTGCAAATAGGACGTGAGAGTTCATCTTGTTTTGTGCTGCTCGTATAGAAACTTCCATTTCATCTGTACGTATGAGCTTGTGGTTCAGTAGCTGCGTGCTTCAGTCAGTGTGGCTCGTGGTTGGGCAGTCATGTGTTAGAGCAGCTGACAGATTATAGTTCTTCTGTATTTGTTCTTGTTGTTAAATCTCTTTTGCTTCTGGTTGTAAAGCTAATTTTAGACGGTCATTGGAAACGGTATGTTGAGTTTGGAACTCAGAGCTAGGGATCAAGTTAAACACGCACCATCATATTGAGCACTAAATATCCTTCACGTTGTTTGATTCCATAATGAATTACTAAGTTTTGAGGACACAGTGTTTATAAAGCCTCCCTTTTTACAAATAAACTTTTGAACTGTACGTGTAACCTAACTACGAAGGCACCTCCGTCTCCCCTGGCCACACCTCTCCTGTTCGTCATCGGCGGCTGCTGAAAGCGGCTCGGGCCAGTGTGACCCACATGGGGGTTAGCGACAAGAGTCCTGCTGCGCCCCGCTGCCTACAAGCCCGACAGCTAGGTTTGGTCAGACAGCACACCCCGTGGGCGGCCACGGAAGTGAGGCTCACATGGCTGCTGCCTGGGACGTGGGCTGTGGCTCCAGCCTTGTGTGAAGGGACCCCACGGTCCTCGTTTCCTCAAGCTTGGGAAAGTGGGGCCCAGAGCCCCTTACCTTTCACCGGCGACTCACCCCCACCGGAGGGAGGCCGGGTACTGGGAGACCCCAGGATGTCGGCCCCTCCTCCTCCCAGCCTGCTTCTCCATCCCATCCACCCCGCTGGGGCTGTGGCCCAGGCGTGCCCAAGCTGCGACATGCCGCGTGTATCCTCTCAGTGCCACGGGGAACGGCCTTACGTGTGCGCCATGTGGTTCTCATGACCATGTTCTCTTGGAAGGAATTCCGCACGTGGCTGAGGGAAGAGTGGGGGCGGACGCTGGAGGACATTTTCCATGAGCACATGCAGGAGCTCATCCTGATGAAGTTTATCTACACTAGTCAGTACGAGTAAGTGCAGCCGCCTCCGGGGGCGCTGTGGGCACAGCCCTGCTCCGGGGGCGCTGGGCGCAGTCCCTCTCTGGGTACTGAGTGCAGTCCCTCCCTGTGCATTCTGAGTGCAGCCCCCTCTGTGGGTACTGTGAGTGCAGCCCTGCTCTGTGGGTACTGGGCATAGTCCCTCTCTGTCGTTACTGAGTGCAGCTGTATGCCATGGGTACTGAATGCAGTCCGTCTCCATGGGTATTGAGCACAGTCCCTCTCCGTGGGTACAGTCTCTCTCTGTGAGTACTGAGTGTAGCCCTGTTCTGTGGGTACTGAGTGCAGTCCCTCCCTATGTATACTGAGTGCAGCCCCCTCTGTGGGTACTGGGTGCAGTCCCTCTCTGGGTACTGAGTGCAGTCTCTCTCCATGGGTACTGAGCTCAGTCCCTCCCTGTGCATACTGAGTGCAGCCCCCTCCGTGGGTACTGTGAGCCTAGTCCCCCATCATGGTTTCTGAGTGCAGCCCCCCTCTGTGGGTGGTGTGAATACAGACTCCCTCTTGGTGGGTGCTGTGAGCACAGTTCCCATCCTCCCCACCCCGCCCCACCTTGGTGTCTGTTTTCTGTCTGCTCTGTCACTGCCATCCCCATCCGGCGGCCATTGCTCTGACAAGCCTGGCCCGTGCGTCAGAGCCTCTGGTGTTTCCCCACATCTGCTGGGGGAGGCGGCTTCCTCTCTTAGCTGCTCTCCCTGCCTTGGCCTCTGCCCGGAGCCCTGTCCCTGGGTCCCATGGACATAACCCCGGGTGCAGCGAATGCCCCCTTCTCAGTCTCGGCTCCCTGTGCCAGGATGACAGAGCGGGAGCGGCATCCCCTCCTCTCTGCAGAGAGCTCTGCTCGCCCCACTGCCCTGCAGTGCCCGGTAGAGTGTAAGCCATGGTGGGATCTGAGAAAGTGTGAGATGTGTCCTGCGGGTGTTTTGAGGGGGTGACTGTGTCTCCTGCCCCCCACTGGCCTGGGAGGAACTAACCCTGGCTGTGCTGGGCCGCCGTGCCCTGCCCGCCCTCCGTCACTAGGCAGGGAGGTGAGCACACTCTGGACTTCTGCCTCCCCTCCTCCCCCGACCCTGAGCTGCTCTCAAGCCTGCTGTTCCCCCCACAGCAACTGCCTGACCTACCGCCGCATCTACCTCCCGCCCAGCCACCCGGACGACCTCATCAGACCTGGCCTCTTCAAAGGCACCTACGGCAGCCACGGCCTGGAGATCGTCATGCTCAGCTTCCACGGGAAGCGAGCCCGGGGCACGAAGATCACGGTGAGTCCCTTGCTGCCCTGGCTACTCATGGTGGGCTCTGGACCCGTGGCTTTGCTGGGGGCAGCCAGGCCCACTGAACAGGATGTGCATTTCACAGGGCCTCCAGGGGATTCGGGGTGTTTCCAAGGTGGCTCTGCCCCATGGCACTCAGTCCTGGCCGCATGCCCGAGGCCCCTGAGAGGTTGAGAAAACATCGATGCTGGGCCCTAGAGATTCTGGTCCCTGAAGGGCGGTCTGGGTTTGTGGCTCCAGGAAGGAGTGCCCAGGTGACAGTAGGCTGCGGCCACATCGGAGACCCCTGTGTTACTACGCGGGCTCCCACCGCCCGCGCTTGCCTCAGCAGCTGGTGAACACAGGCGGAGGGTTGTGGAGCTGAAGGGGGTCTTGGACACATCCCTGCTGTCCCTGCCCCAGTGGCACCGTTCACGCTCTGCTCCCCTGTCCTTTGCGTGGCCGGGGTGCCTTCCCGACAGGTGCACCGGAGCATCCTGGGGAGCAGTGCCTCCGCCGGTTCTCGCAGAGCCTCCTCTTGGGTCCTGATTGGCCAGGGTCCCTGTGCTCTGGAGAGGATTTTTGTGAGCAGAGCACAGCCCCGTGGCTCGTGCAGAGTGGCCCGGCCTGGACGACGACCTGGGAGCCGGCTCGGGAGCGTTTGCGTCCCAGGCACACAGATCTGTCTGGGTTGGCGTTCAGGTTGGGAGGGTGTCTGCACTTTTCTGAGCCCCAGTTTTATATTTGATTTTATTTTTTTTCCATTCAGAGAGAGAGTGGGAGAGGGTCAGACGGAGAGAAAGTAGACCCTTAAGCAGGCTTCACGCTGAGCATGGAGCCCATGGTGGGGCTTGATCTTATGACTGAGAGATCACAATCTGAGCCAAAACCAAGAAACGCTTAACCCACTGAGCCACCCAGGTGCCCCATCTAAGTCCAGTCTTAGCTCCTCCAGACGGGGAGTTTTTCACACCAGGCAGGGGCCTGCGCACCGCACAGGGTCCCTTGGATGCTGTCACGGGCCTGTTTTCAAAGACCCCTTCGCAGACGGGTGGCGTGCTGTAGGCACTTGGTTTTTACGGCTTCTGAGACGTTCTTACTCCATAGGGGGTTGCAGCCAAGTCCATAGGAACGCTGGGGCAGCTCCTTCGGCCAGAGGCGTGCTCTGAGCTGGGGACCTGCAGTGTGTCCCTGCCGGGCTCTGAGCCCCCCTGACGATCGCCCGCTCGCTCCTCAGGGTGACCCCAACATCCCTGCTGGGCAGCAGACGGTGGAGATTGACCTCATGCACCGCATCCAGCTGCCCGACGTGGAGAGCCTCCGCAGCTTCACCGAGCTGTCCCGCATCGTCCTGGGGGTTCGGGAGCAGGTGCGCCAGGAGCAGCAGCGGCAGGAGAGCGGGGCCCAGGACGGTGAGGGCCATGGCCCGCAGAGCCCCCGGGAGCCCCAGCCCGGCGTGGAGCTGCCTGCCGAGAAGGGCGGGGAGCCTGTGGATGGAGAGGCGGTGGCCGAGGCGGCGCCTGCGCCCGAGCAGCCCGCCCAGTCTGGGCAGGGGCAGCCGTTCGTGTTGCCCGTGGGTGTGAGCTCGCGGAACGAGGACTACCCCCGCACCTGCCGGATGTGGTAAGGATGCCAGGGCGGCCGCGCCGGGCCTTCCAGGGAGCCCCGCCTGCCCACCCTGCCTGGAGACGGGCTGTGGGGCCAGCGGGGGGCTGGCTGCATTGGGCGCGGAGCCTCCAACACCTCCGTCTGGGTCCCACCTCGGGCCCGAGTGGCTGTGCAGCCACATCTCAGACATCGGGGAGCCCTCAATGGGGCTTATTAGAACCGCCAGCTGTGAGGCCTCCTCTCAGATGCCTTGCGTTGCCGAGTCAGTCAGGTGAAGGGTGGACAGGTGAGTCTGCAGGCGGCGTCGAAGGTGGCAGGTCAGGAGGGGGCTCTCCCGCACCTGCGCCCCTAGAAGCCGGCTTGACTTCACCTGGATGTCCTTGCAGAGGAGGCCTGTTGGGGTCGCCCTCTGTCTCCTGAACACACTGTAGCGCCGGCCCTTCGTTTCTTCCTCTGGTTTCCCTCCTGGCTCAACGCCTGTGCAAAGGGCCAGCGTCACGCTGTCCTCCCCACAGAGCCGAGGTTCCTGATGCTGGGCCGGCTTGCTCTTTGCTTGACTCACGGTCTTCAGGTTTTGTCCCAGGCCCTGCCCTGTCCTTCAGGGCTGCTGGAGCTTAGATGACCTCAGGTGGACGAGACCACAGACTCGGGTCCCCAGGCGCACGGGCTGCTTCCCTATCCAGCAGCCACAGGCATGCTGGGCAGTGCAGGTCTAGAATGTTCCATCATTGCAGGAAGTTCTCCTGGACCATTGTCCTAGGGGACGTGTTGAGGGAATGACCTGTCTCCTGGCATCACAGCTGCTTGGCCTTCGTGTGTGTCCAGTTTTGTGCAGAGGTCTGTTTCCTTGACCCCTGGACCATCTGGCCAGCACTTCACACGCCCACCGGAGTGTGGACAGGGCACTGAGCTCCCCGAGGAGGACCGGTGTCTGCGTGGGCTGGGTGGCTAGATGGGCTCTGTGCACCCAGTGCCCCGCACCTGCAGGAAGTCCTCCAGGATGCTAGCCTCATGTCTGCCCCTCACTTGGTCTTCACACTGTCCACTCAGGATGATGTCAGACCCTGCAAGGCTGCCCTGCCCCCTCAGCTGCTCATCACAAGTCCAAGTTGTTACCATGCTTCCGCTTGGCCAGCTGTAGGTCGGAGATTCTGTGATCCCCCTCCTCATGTTCAATTAATGTGGTGGGACAGGAGTCAGGGAAGCACTACATTCAGCATCTTGTCGAAGGTGGTGACAAAGGATGTAGATGACAGACGAAGAGATATGTGGGCTCCGACCCGCCCTGGGGTTGTGGTGGGCCTGTTCCCCCACCTGGGAGCCCCCGGAACCCCATACTTTGGGTTGTTCTGGAGGCTTCGTCCCGTAGGCCTGGTCGATCATTAGCTCTGTCTGCAGCCCACACCCCTCTCTGGGGGATGGCCGAGCAGCTGAGGACTCCAGGCTTCTACCACCAGCCACGCTGGGCCACCAGAGTCACCTCCTGGTGTCCTAGTCCCCTGGGGATTTACACGGGTTTCAGGAGCCCTGTGCCAGGAGCCTGGGCAGGGGTCAGCCTGTGTGCTCCTGTCTCGCACTGGGAAAAAGTCAGTTTGTCACCAAAGTGGCTGAGTTTGGGTTTTCCTGGAGGAGACGTACAAATCGTGTTCCAATGGAATTTCAACTGATGTGAATTTTTTAAAGGTCGTGAAAGATGAGGGCTCTGCTGTCCTTAGGAAACGGGAAGCTCACAGCACCCCGTGGCCCAGCTGTGGCTCACCAGGGTGCTCTGAGGCCAGCCCTGGGGTGGAGACGCGGGACACGGGCCCTGTGACCTGGGAGGGCATGCCGTGGTCCCTCCCACTGGTTTCGGGTGTCTGTGAGGCTTTGCCGCCACACCAGTGCTGGACACGGCTTCCAGCCTCCGTGTGTCCTAAGCTCAGCAGGTATCACCTGGCCTCCCCACGTGAGATCCCTCCAGACCCCATCCTGTGCATGCCTTCAGGCACAGGCCTGCTCTCCTCTCCCCCCAGGGGAGCCCCGGCGTGGTGGAGGGAGGTGGCAGATGGGCCCAGCCTCCAGCTCCCTGTTATCTATCTGTAGGAGCACCGGCTTCTTGGCAAGGAAGACGTAAATGTGTCATACATTAGTCTCGAGGCTTGAAACTTGGCCTTATGGGCATCGGGAAGTTCTGCCTGCTGGGTTCATGACGGTTGTGACAAGAAGTCTTTATTGATTGCGTTTGAGTCGTTGACGTGCTAACGTAACCATTTGGGGAATTAAGACTGGTTATCTGGGCCAGCTTTGTGAAGGTGTCCTTCGGGACAGCTGTACATGGTGGGGCTGCCGGAGACCCTCTTCCTTTAGCCCGGTGATCCCGACCGTCGGCTTGTGGTTTGGTGCACTGGGCAGTTGGAGTTGCTTGGTGGTCCAGACAAGATGGGCTCTCGTGGGCACTGTAGCCTGTGGCTTCCTGCTGGCTGGGAAGAGGGGCCAGTGGGGGCACGGGGGTGGGGTGGGGGGTGCTGCAGCAGCACAGGCGACAGGGTGGGACTGGGGCCCAGAGCGCCTTCCCGGCCCCTCTCACTCCCACCCCCTGCGCTTTCCCTCTTGTCTTTGTTCAGTTTTTACGGCACGGGCCTCATCGCCGGCCACGGCTTCACCAGCCCTGAGCGCACCCCTGGGGTCTTCATCCTGTTCGACGAGGACCGCTTCGGGTTCATCTGGCTGGAGCTGAAGTCCTTCAGCCTGTACAGCAGGGTGAGGGCCACCTTCCGGAACGCAGAGGCGCCGTCCCCGCAGGCTTTCGAGGAGATGCTGAAGAACATCCAGTCACTGACGTCCTGACGGGCCACTTCCTGCGGGCGGCTCCCGGGGCCCTGGACCCTGCCGCCGGGATGGGAAGCAGCATGCACTGTGGAGATTCGGCCTTCTGACCACAGCACCCACCTCATAGGAGTCTCGGCCCAGCCACCCCAAAACTCTGTAGAGTGTGCGATGTGTGCCCATGCTAGTAGCTCATGGGAAGGCCGACTGAGCATGTCTCACAGGAAGAAGGGCCCAGGACAGAACTGTCGGGTGGCGGGGGCTGCACAGCTCTGTGAGCGGCTCAGCTGGACAAACTGGGCTGGGCCTTGGCCTGCTGGTCATTTTCTAGGGTCGGCCAGAGTGACCCCGGGGCCAGTGATCGGGATCGTGTGAGGCGAGTGACTGTGGCTGTGGGCTGGCAAGGGTCCGGGGCGAGGGCCTCTGCGAGCTGAGCGTCCTGCAGCCTGGGTGGGGTGAGTGTGTGCAGAAATGGGGCTCTGTGGGGGCAGGTGTGTCAGGCCAGGACCCTGGACTGAATTCCTGTGTGTTTACTAACTTGCTTGGAATTTGGACAGAAGCATTTCACCTCTGATCTGTTTGTGAATCGGCACCGTGGGGTCAGCAGGGACCGTCATGGGGGTCCTTCGGGCAGCTGGGAGGCCCTGGCCTCCCTCCAGCTTTAGAATCCAGACCTTGGCTGCAGCCAGTTTGAGGCAGGGCATTTGTTTGCACACCCCCGCCCACCTCCTGCACATGCTCTGGTGGCGTCAGGCCCTGAGCTGAGCCACTTGTCCCAGAACCTTCTTCAGCAATCTGCAGGGCCACACCTGAACCAGCCCCGCCTTCTCCCAGTTGCTTAGCACGCACGGGTGCTGTTCTTGGACGTGTAAAAACAGCAGAGCGGTTGCAAAAGAGGACTTGGGAGCCCCTTTGCGGGTAACAGGGCAACTTTCCAGAAGAGTCACCCCATGCATGTGGAATGCACTTCGGAGACCAGGGCCTCTCAGGATCTTCCCGTGTGGAGGCCCTGAGCACGGACGCTTCCGGTGGTGGTGTGCCTGTGATCCATCGACACCCGCATCTGGGGACCCGCTGTCGTGAGGTCCCTGCCGATCTTAGCGTCTCCTGAAGAGCAGAGCCCTGCTGCACGTAGGCCCCCAACAACTAGCTCTACTCCGCCCCCAGCCTGCAGAGCACGGTTACCGTGCTCCCCTTCTGGGGCGGGGGCACACCTGTCCCCCTGCCTGTGGCTCGTCCTTGCTGGGTGGACTGTGCCGCGCCCTCGTGCAGGGGGCCAGGGACCCCAGGAAATGGGGCAGCTTGTGGTGCCTTCACGTAGAGACCAGCCTGAGCCGCCCCGTGAAACAGGTCCTGTTTTCCTGATGACGACTTTCTCCCTGACTGGCCTTTTTTTTTTTTTTTCTTTTCTTTTTTAAATAAAAAATCCCTATTGCTCTAGCTTCAGCACATTTGGCAACTTTGAACTTCCTTTGCTTCCCAGCATCATAGAATTGATAAGCTCTGGGGCACGGCCTCTCATAGGCAGACCTAGGAGGTTCTGTCCAGACGCCGACGCGGGAAGGAGGCAAGCGGAGAAGTGGGGGGTCCTTTCCTGGCCGGCTCTGATGCGACGTGCCCCCCACATCCTTCTGGTGGGACCTGCAGGCAGGCGGGGGCGTGGTCCGTGTTCCTGGCTCCGCAGGCCAAGCCTCCCAGTGTCCCCGCCCCCACCCCCTCGTGCTGCTCCCGTGCGGCGGTGGCGGTGACCACGCTGTGAAGCCTTGGGAGCACAGGGCAAGGCCCGCTGGGTGTGCGGCCGCTGCGCTTCATACTTGGTCCAGGCCTGCGGCTCGCCCCGAGGCTCGTTCCGAGGCTGCTCCGTCCAAGCCTTCGCTCATCCTGGGAGTCCACTCAGATTGAAGATGAGCCTTTCTGATGAAAAACCAGCCGCAAACGCAGACGGTGGGATCTGCCTCTGGAGCGCAGGCCTCTGTGCGGTTTTCACTGGTAGTGGCCGTTGGTGGCATTCACACTGGCGTCTCTGGCGTCGGGTGGGGCCCTGAGGGACTATGGGGCCGAAGCGCAGGCAGCGGCCTGGGTGGTGCCAGGCAGGGCCCGTGGTGCTGGACGGCGAGGGCTTGTCACCTACGCAGCCGGGGGCTGAGTACGTGTTGTTTCCCACTTGGCACATCCGGGCTGGTTCTGGTTTCCGGCTCGTGGGTGAGTGTCAGGGTCCGTGCAGAGCGGCCCCCGCAGGCGTCCCTTGCGGCAGACTGTGCACCCCACTCGTCAGGGCCGCTTCTGGCCCCTTAACTGGTTGCAGGTGAGGATTCAGAAAGGCTGAAGAAAGATGTGGTTGGAGGCCTAAAGGCAGCTGGGATTTTGATAAAGCTGGTCCCAAAAAGGAACCTGAATGACCCAATTTAGGGACCAACTACCCCCATGTGGTGTGACTGGGGGAAGGCAGCAGTTGGATCTGGGTTGGTCTTCGGACGTTTCCCCCTGGTTGGCGCCACCGTCCCTCGCTGCTGAGCTGCCGTGACGCCAGGGAGTCTGTTGTGCTTTGTAGTGGTAAGAGTCTCAGGTGCGCCTCTGTGTGACCTGTGCACGTGCTGTCCTGAACTTGACCGGGAAGGACGTGATTGGAGATTTCAGATGCGAGTCTCTGGATTCCTCTGTGTTGGGGCTGAAGGTTCCCTGCATGACGCTGTTGAAAACGGCCTTGATTTCTTGGCTGTATGACTCGGGTCTGGTGGTCCCTCTGGTTGTGCTGGCCCACCAGCTCAGATGCAGTGTCTCCTGCTGGGGAGCGGGTTTGGAGGCCTTGCATGGTGGCAGTTCCAGAATCTTCCCTCCCACGGTCCAGACAGAGCCTCCTTTCCTGGCCTCACCCCTTGGTCCCTTCGTCTGGGCAGCTGGCTCCTGTGGCTGTTGCTCAGGGCGCAGCCACCTTCCCCTCCTGTCCTGAGCCAGGTGGCTGGGGTGGGTGCTTGTACCCCCGGCATTCCTCCTGGCCGAGGCGGGGGGCAGAGGGCTGTCACGGTGGGCTAGGGGAAGGAGCAGGCCGGACCTGCGTTCCCGCCTCGTGTGGAGCCGCCGCCCCTGACCTCCTCTTTCCCTGAGAAGCCGGCACAGCTTACTGCTGCGGCCCAGTCAGCCACGGCCCCTCCATCAGCCAGCTGGTCCTCTGTGCCCTGACGGCTGCCGTGCTCGGGGCTGAGTTTCCATCTGTGGGTTGTGCGGGTGTCTCACACCGAGGTGTGGTCACCTCGTAGTGCCCGCGAGCAGTGACAGGGAGGACCCTGCTATAGTCCCCGTACTTGGCTAACGTGGTTGCGGGAATCTTGGGCTCTCTGAGCCTCTCGTGCCTGCGGTGTCTGGTGTGTTCAGGATGAGTGCCCTGTGTAGACTCGGTGCTTTGAGGGGGCTGCCCTGCTGTGTGTTGACCTCTCACCCCGTCTGCCTCCCTGCTCCAAGTGTCAGGAAGGCTTGTGGGCCTGTTCTCGTGGAGACCTCCCTGGCTTGAGGCTGGTGCAGCCCAGGCCACGGCCAGTCCCGGTGCTGACTACGTCACCCTCCTCGTCTTTGCATCTGGGAGCCCTGGAATGTAACCTGGCTACGCGTTCTCAGAAGCGTTGAGTGAGTAGAGAAAGTCGTGACGCCGTCGGTTTGCCTGACGCTGTGCACGGGGCCGGGACAGTGCCAAATTACTGAGTGCTTGGTGGCCTGCAGGCCAGCTGTCGGGAGGCATGGGTGACCGGCGACGACACCAAGGCTGGGGCCTTTCTGTGCTCACAGGGAGACCAGCCAAAACCTAGGAAGGGGTCGGAACCTGTGCTTTTTCAGTCTAATTTTATTTTTGGTTGTTATTTGAGATCACATAGCCTACTTGGAGAAGAAACATCGTGCCGCTTGATCCTGAAGTCCCACGGCCTGAGCGCCACAGGTGAGGTGCGGGGAGCTGCCGCCCCTCCCCGGCATCTGCTCTGGGGTAGGGTGGGCTGGAGCTGGGACGCTGCAGGGCCGTGCCCCCAGGAAGCCGTGGCTGTGAGCCTGCGCCCAGCGTGGTCACCTGGGCGGGACCTTGTGGGGCTGTTTCTCCATAAACCAGCTTTTGAATCTTACTGTGTGCTTTGTAATTGTTTTTTTGGGCGGGATGTGATCTAGAGCTATAAGCAACATGAGGTGGGGGGCTGAGGGCCGAAGGAGGGGGCTGGATCCTGGCGGTGGGGGAGGGGGCAGCCCTGGGTGCCTCTCACATCTGTATTGACTACGTTTCAATTTTCCCTGTTGTGGAACAAAGCGATAAGTGAGCCCTTGGAATCCAGACCACGGTAGGTCTCCACATCCCTCCTGACCTTGGCCTGATAAGTGTCCCCATCCCTGAGGGGTGGCCCAGAGGGAGCGGGGGCCACGGTGGGATTCTTCTTAGGCTAAATTTGAAAAGAGTTTGCCTTTTCTGAGAACAGGGTAAGAACGGCTGGATGGAAGAGGGCAGGGTCTGCTCAGTGGTGGGCACCCAGCTGAGGACCTTGTTTCCGGTTTTTTCTCTGTGACAGTGATCTTAGGAACAGCGTAAGAATTTAATATAGGACGTAAAAGAACCTTCTGTTCCCACTCGGCTGGAGGGTTCCCCTGTCCTCCCTGGGCACTGGCTTAGGCCCGCCGGTCCCCTGGTCCTTCCCCTGCGGGCGGCTGTGCGGGCAGGGCCCTGGCCAGGCACCGTGTGTGTGGTACATGTCCCTGTGCCCCGTCGTGGGGCTCTCTGCAGCCCGGCCTGTGCTGGGGGTTTGGGTGTCTGCCTCCACGTGTGACCCCAGCTGGCACGACTTGAAAGTCTGTGGGTGCTGGAAGACTGCCTTCCCACACCCAGCGGCCTTGTGTGGGAGGTTCAGCATTGGGAGGAACGGGTGCTTCTTGGGGAGCAGAACCAGAGGGGGAGGGGTAGTGGACTCCCCTCATATGTTGGGGTGCCCTAGAGGGAGGCCTGAGAAGCGGACCCGGCCTCCCCTTCCCTGATGGTCCTGCTTTCCTGCGGTACCTGAGCTAGCTCTCAGCACAGAGCCCGACGCGGGGCTCGAACCCACGAACCGCGAGCTCATGACCTGAGCCAAAGTCGGATGCTCAACCGACTGGGCCATCCAGGTGCCCCACATACTGGCTTCTTTCACTCAGCTTTTGTTACCATCTCCCTCCAAAGAGTCTTTTTAGATTTTTTTCCTAATACTCCTCGCTATATTTTAATACCACAGGTAGACCGTGTGCATTATGTGTGGGTCTGTGTATGCACACGTGTGTGCTTGCGTCCACACAGGCACATGGTGTCCCCGGGCAGAGGGAGGCCTGGCTCTCGAACTCGGAGCCCCCAGGAGCCCTGGCTGCCGAGCTGAGAAGGGGCTGCTGGTGGAGGTGGGAGGCTGCCTTGGGATTCGGGTTAGAACAGGCCTGGCCCGGGGAGTGGATCTGATTCGTCGTCTGGGCCCCCTGCTGGGCCGAACTCGGCCTCGGGGCTCCCACCGGTTAGTGGCTCAGCCCTGGCCCACCGCAGCAGAGCTCTGTGATCACTCTCTGGACAACAGCTGCCCAGACACTGGCTCAGGGCTGCTGCCGTCCCCACCTGGGAGCCCAGGCAGCAGAGGAGGGGATGGGCTGGTCAGCCCTTTGCAGACTGTCATCCAGAGAGTGGCTGCTGGGGACCCCTGTGGACTGGAGCAAGGGAGTACCTAGACCCGCTTCCTGTCCTCTTCTCAGGCTCCTTCCAGGACCTGGGGTGGGGACAGAGGCTTCAGACCCCGGGTGGATGGCCCTCATCACCACGGAGCTTCTCTGCCCTGCTGACACTCCACAGTTCTGTTGGGAGCAGGCTCCCAGGGCGCCGGGGGTGCGGGGAGACCTGGCGTGGAGCCCCTCCTAGAAGACACTCTCCTCGCATGGAAGGCACTAGGACATGGGTCCTTGGTGCTGGGCTGAGACAGTGACAGGCATCTGGAAATGAACAAACTCCTCCTGAGTCTGGTTGTCTGGCTTGGCCTGCGTCCCTTTTAGGGCGCTCTGATGGTGAGGATGGTGGGGGCGGCAGCATCTCCTGGCAGAGTGCAGGACACGGTGAGGGAGAAGGAAAGGGAGACCAAGGGTCTGAGATCTCACAGAAGAGAGAACTCTAGAATGGTGCGGTGGGAGAGGCAGGGAGAGGCAGGGGTGATGCTGGAGCCTGTGGCTCCACAAGGAAGGGTAAGGATGTGGGGCAGGAGACCTGCACAGAATGACCTACACATGCAGGGCCCCAGTTTGGGTGAAAAAGTGAGTTCTGTGCTCCAGGGAGCACAACACCTACTGCAGGAGTCCGTGGCACCTGGCATGACCTTGACCCAGACTGGGCTGGGAAGGGGTACTTGAAGAGACCCCATAGTGTTTCCAATGAGGGACATGAGCATGCGACTCTTGATCTCGGGGTTGTGAGTTTGAGCCCCACGTTTGGTGAGGTTACTTTAAAAAGTTTGGGGGCACATGGGTGGCTCAGTTGGTTAAGTCTGAATCTTGATCTCAGGGTCCTGAGTTCAAGCCCCGTGTTGGGTTCTGCGCTGGGCGCTAAGCTTACTTAAAAAGAAAAGTGTGAGGGGTGCCTGGGTGGCTCAGTCGGTTAGGCATCCGACTTCGGCTCAGGCCATGATCTCGCGGTTCCTGAGTTCCAGCCCCGCATTGGGCTCTTTGCTGACAGCTCAGAGCCTGGAGGCGGTTTCAGATTCTGTGTCTTTCTGTGCCCCTCCCCCACTCATGTTCTGTCTCTCTCAGTCTCAAAAATAAAAAACTATTAAATAAAATTTTAAAAAGTTTGAAAAAATTTTTTTTAATTTTCATTTTTTTTTTTTTTTTAAACTTTTGAGAGAGAGAGAGAGAGACAGAATGTGAGCCAGGGAGAGGCACAGAGAGAGAGACCTACAAACACAGAACCCAAAGCAGGCTCCAGGCTCTGAGCTGTCAGTACAGAGCCTGACACAGGGCTCGAACCCATGAACCACGAGATCATGACCCGAGCTGAAATTGGACACTTATCCAGACAGCCACCCTGGTGCCCCTGAAAAAAAGATTTTTAAATCATGTTTTTACCCAACCCACGGGATTTAGCTTTGCAGAACCCCTTTTCTGTGCCTGTCATGGGTCAGTCAGGCAAGGGTATCCTGTGATAACAAACTTCAAAACAAAAAGTCACAACTTCTGGGTTGTTTCCTGGGTTATAAAGCAACAACACAGGCTTTTGTAGTCACAAGGTTCTCAAAGATGTGGCTGGCTCTGTCCGTGGCTTCTGGTGGACCAAGTTCTTATTTCTTTGGCGTGTATACCGGGGCAAGGAACTGCTTGGTTACAGGCTATTCATTCAGACATTTAGGTTTGGTAAATATTGCCAAATGGCTTGGCGATACAGTTAGATCAGTTTTGTGAGTAATGTGAGGCTTTTGCCTGCCACATCCTCAATAAAGCTGGTGTGTGTTAGACCTTCTAGACATTCCTGGGGAGGGGGAGGCACGGGGGCAGCGAGGAGCTATTCTTGACAGGAGACAGCAAGACCGTGCCCCAGCTGTCTTCTGTGCTGCAGCGACGTTCCCGTCGGCTCAGGAGAATGGAGACCCCGCGGCAGGCAGGCAGACACAAGCGAGCTGTGAGTACGATGCTAGGTTAGTGGCGAGATTCCTGGACAGCTTTGTCGTTAGCTAGTAGCCCAATAACACTATGTATACACACAACGCACATGCAGGAGTGATGTCCGAACTACGTGGCAGCTCCTGTGGCAGGGGCACCGCCCAGTGAGTTCGGATGCCAGCCAAGAGAGCACGCGTGTGGGCACCGGCTCCAAGTGCAGCCCTGACCCTCACAGCTGAGCAGCGGGGCCAGAAGCCCGAGCAGCGCCTGGGCGCATCCTGTTCGCTCCAGGGCTGGGCGGCAGCATATCGGGGTGCCGCCCAGCAGGGCTAGTTGCCCGTGCTGGTTTGGGCAAACTGGATTCACCGGGAGTGTTCCAGTCGGCATGAAAATACTAAAGGGGCGGGGGGAGGGGGGACTCGTTTCCAATAAATGGAAACTGGGGTCTGGGATAAACCAGAACAAGGAGAGGCAGGCGGCATCCGGTGTGTGAAGACGCGCGGCCGGTCTCGGGTCCAGCGACCGCGCCCAGCGCGGGGACTCGGGGCGACAGCAGGCCGGCTAGAGGTTACAGCGGCGCGGCAGCGTCGGGACCGCAGCGCCCGGGCCCGGGCCGGCAGGCGGCCGCCACGTGAGCTGCAGGGCGCACCGCTCCGTCGGAACTTAAGAGACGCAACCGGAGGCCTGAAAGCGCCACGCCGCCTCCCCTCCATGCAGGGCCGGAGAAGCGGACAGAAGTTCGCACCGCCGGGGGGCTGGAGTTCTACACTTTCCCTCCAAACCCCACCCCCCGGCCCGACCTCTCGACCCCCTGACTCCGAGCCCGTGCCGCCAAGGGCCAATCAGCCGTCAGATGAGGGCACATACCTAGAAGGCGCCGTGTGATTGGCTGAGCGTGGGCTAGTCAGCGGTGCCGTCGGGCCGGAAGAGCGGGATCCGGCGAGGCTCGCGGGCGGAAGGGGCGGGGCCTCGGAGTGGGCGGGACCATGCGCGGCGTGCGGATGCGCGTTGGCCGCGGGGAGGAGCAGCACGCGGGAAAGCCGGCCCTGCTGTCGTCACCCGCCTCAGGATGGTCACCGCTCCCTCACACCCCGCCGACCTGTCAGAGCCGCGGCGGGCACTTCCGGGAGCCCCGGGTGGCCGTTGGGTCTGTCAGCACGCACTCCCCGGAGCGCGTCGCGGCAGGCAGGTGCGTCCCTGAGTCCCGCACGCCGGGCCGCGGACGCCGCACCCGGGGCAGCCCAGCCCCGCCGTCAGGGGCCCGGGCCCCGCGTCAGCCCGGCCCCGCGGTAGCTTGTGTCCCGTAGGCAGGGCAGAGGGCACGCCTGCGCTGGCGGCAGCTCCGGGGGCGGGTTACTGTTCCACCGGCTGAGAACGGAGGGCAGGTCTTCAGGGACTGTGGCCGGGATGTCCGCCCCGCTTGCCTGCGGGCCGGCCTCCCGCCCGGAGCCGAGACCTGGAGGCTTCCAGCCTCCCCACAGAAGGA